AAAAAAAAAAAAAAAACTAATTATGTCTTGGATTACAAATAAACCCTTCTTCTCCAATAAACTAAATATAAATTACAAATAAAAAAAAACTAATTAATAACCATATAATCATGTCTTTGATTACAAATAAACAGTCAAATTAACTTTCAAAATCATTTAAAATACAAATATATCACATAGTAAGAGCATCTCCAAGAGTCTCCTTATTCCTCTTTCTTATCTCAAAAATAGGGTTTTTTTCTCAAAAATTGTCTCCAACAATTCCCCTAAAATTGGTCATATTTTTAAGATGTCCTCAAATAGAGGCTTCTCTTCCTCATTCTTGGGGAGGGAAAAAGGACCCCCTATTTCTTCTCCCCGCCTTTATTTTGCATAGGCACTCTTTTTTTTTTTCTCGCGGTCTTTTTCCTCCATCTCCTTTCATCTCCCCCTCGTCGCCCTCCACTGCCGCCCGCTCGCAGCATCCTCGCCGCCCTCCACCGCCGCTGGAAAGGTGCCGCCACTATCGGATGGAAGGTGCCGGCGACGCCCCAGGACGAAATGGTAAGATTCATGTATGTAAATTTCTGCACTTTCGATTCATGTAGTTGTACACTTGTACTGCGACAATAAGGGTCACAAGAAATTGGGGCCCCGGAAACAAATTTGATTCATTGTTTGATGGGATAATTTGAGGCCTTGGTTTCGAAATGAAGAATGGATGCTTGGGGCTTTATGTTCAGCAGAATAGGATTTCTGGGCCTGTGGATTTCACTGCTAAAGAATTCTATGACATGGAAGATAGAAACTTTCAATTTGAGTTGTAATTCTTCTATGGAAACTTGCCACGGTCCTGGACAACCTGTCGTACTTGACATATTTTTATCTTCATGGGAAAAAATTTACAGGAGAGATTCCTTCAGAGATTAGGAATTTTATGCTCCAATACTTGGATGTTTCTGAGAATGAGTTATATATTGACTTGGATTTTTTTATTTTTTTGATAATTGACAAGTGAAGGTCGTAGCTTTTTCTGGAATTTGTTTTAATTTGTTTCTTGTTTTCACATTCTTATATGCTTGGTAGATGAATTAAACAGCAGAACAAATGGTAGATAAGTAGTGGGCTCACAATATTTGGGCGTTTAGTTAAAGGAGCTGCAAGCAGAGCTGCTGTGTGAACCAAATGATACAGAGATGTTGTGTGCCATACCTTATATATTGCTTATATATTGTTGTGTTTGCTGAACAATATTTGGTGCTCATGAGTGATTGTTGTGTTTGCTGAACAATATTTTTGATGTGCTTGGCTGATCGACATTGTATTTGGTACAGGCTATGTTGAATTCAATGGATATTACACCAATATGTTGGATGATGGATTAGAGGGACATCAAATGGATGGAATGAGTAACAGTCCCGAGGAAGAACAGTCACCAAATTTGCAAGGAAACAAAGGGAGAATGAAAAAATTTGAGAAGTAGCCTTCAAATTCTCTACATCACAATTTAGAGAAAAAATTGCAAGACCTGAGTCATATTTGCTAGAAAAAAATTCCTTTCAGATTCTCTACATCAAAATCCATAGAAAAAAATATTTTTAACAATAATTCAAAACCCTAATTTTCTCAAATCACTCACCAAAATTTCTCTAATTTCTTTATCCCAATGGAGAATTAGACCCAATAGTCCCACCGCCGACACGGCGACGTCGCGACCTTCGACTCCCCCTAACCAATCTACTCCACGTCCTTATCCACCGTATTTTCGTCGGCGACTTCCTCGAGGAGCTCGAGAACTGCGTCGACATCTTGACGTTTATCCAACGACGGCGGTGGCAGTAAGAACAACGATGAACCGAACTTTACCTCTGGAGAGAAGAGGGATTTTGAGGTGCCCGTGGTGTAGGGCAGAGGCCGGAGGATCTCTAGACGGTGGAAAAGAGGGTCTACACGGCCACAACAACTGCAATGTCGAGGATTTAGATTTGGTCAAGAAAATTGCGTCTGAACGGGAGACATAAATCAAGGTTTTGAAGAAACGTTGTGGGGGAGGAGGAAACGAAGGTGAAGAAGGATGACAGATTTAGATCGAAAATTTTATTAAGGAGAGGACAGAGAGGATAAAAGCCAGAGAAAGTAGATCTGGTTCTGAGATGCTTTGGGGTTTGGGAGGAGAGAATGAAGAGGTGTTCACCCAAAGTCACGTATGGAATTAAAATAATTAGAAACTCGTATTTATGAACCAAATAACATAAGCGTGGATTGAAAATTTTAAATTCTCACTTTGGGAAATAAAAAGATATGGCTTCGTGGAGAGGGTAATTTTCTCTAATAGTTACTCGAATTACCTCCTCATGTTTAAGTTATAATGTCCATTAATTAATTTGATTACTGATAATAAAAAATTAATTAATATATTATTATTTCACCGAAGCTAGCGCTCATTCATCACATTATTACTATGCCGGAATTTAATCCACTTGCAGGGTTTAGCATAATAATCCTTCACGAACTCCAGGGACATCATCAAACTAAACGTACATGGTGACCGTAAATATCCTAACAACACATCATATATACAGTAATATTACCCAAATACAATAGGAATATTAATTCAACGAACTGAACCTCACCCAAGTAAATCAAAATAAGTGAAAATAGCTATTTTCACCTGGTTTTGAAATTTTGTTAAGTTTTTCACACCGTCCAATAAAAAGCTAAGTTTTTCACCCCAGAAAGTGCGAAAGGCATTGTGCGATGAATATGCGACAATTGCGCGATGACATTGTGCGAAAGTTAAAAGTGCGAAGGCATTCGCATATCCCTTCGCACTTTCTGGGGTGAAAAAAAGTTAAAGTGCAAAGGCATTGTGCGATGAATATGCGACAGTTATGCAATTGATATGCGACACTTTTTCGCTATGCAATTGATATGCGACAGTTTTTCGCATAACCTTCGTATATGTGACAGTTATGCGATGAATGTGCGACAGTTTTCGCATAACCTTCGTACTTTCTGGGGTGAAAAACTTAGCTTTTTATTGGGCGGTGTGAAAAAAATTAATGTGTCTTTGAATTGGGGTGAAAAAGATTTTTTCCCATCAAAATAATATATACTACATATATATGTCTATTTAATATCTTACAGGTTAAGAGAACGCAGTAATTAACCGAGGCCTAGTTGCCCAGTAATCAAAATCTTATGTCTATTCGAAGACCTCACTAGGCCAGCTCAGTTGCCGACGACAAACAACCTAGTTGTCGACACAAGCGGACCACAGTGACGTGGTGTTTTTGTATACCTCCAAGGGGTAGAGTCCCACTAATCAAAGAGATGAATATGAGCAGGATTCTTGATGATTGTAACGGATATGCTTAAATCAAGACATGGAGGGGAAAGGGACTCTCCATCTCTAAGAGTCTTATATAGCAGGGTTACTCATACTATATAATGGAACAAGTTTTCTTTACTATAACACAATAACACACATACACCAAAAAATTAAGTGTCTCGTTACTTTGCTAGTTTTCTCTCGAAGCTGCCACTGACTTGACAGTCGGAATATCTGCGCCGGGACCACCCCCGACGTTCTTTGCATGTACCGACGATCGAGAAGACATAACCCGGTTCGAGAGGAACGATCGAGCGACTCGAGATAATTTGACTTATCAAATATCTTATATGGATCTCAAATCAAAAATTGTTAAAATATAATTAATTTGATATATCATATGTGATTTTTTGCCAAATGATTTTTTGCCAAATATGATTACTAGAGTTCCACTTTTAAGTTCAAGCAAAACCCCGAAGGCCGAAGTTTCCCAATTTGCGTTTCTCTCTCACGCACACAATCCCCAAAATCTGCAAACAAGCACAAAGCTAACCCTGGAATTGTAGAATTGTCTCCGAGCATTTGGTCGAGGAAAATAAAACCCAATGGAAAACAATGAACCAGAGATCAGCGGAAACTCTTCCGTCGACTGCGCAGCCGTCCCTTCCCTCGTCTCCTCCTTTGTGGACACCTTCGTCGATTTCTCCGTCAGCGGCGGCCTTTTCTTGCCGCCGGAGCTGGAGCCGATCCACAATTTAACCACCCGGCTGAGAACCGTTTTCCCCCAGCCTGGCCGCCTGATCGCTGTCGGAGATCTCCACGGCGACCTCCCCAAGGCCAAACAGGCCTTGAGGCTCGCCGCCCTGATCGGGCCGGACGACCGCTGGTCCGGCGGCGCCGCCACTGTCGTCCAGGTCGGCGACATCTTTGACCGCGGAGGGGACGAGATCAAGCTCCTGTACTTTTTCGAGAAGCTCAAGCGAGAGGCCGCCAGGGTTGGTGGTACGGTGATCACCATGAACGGGAACCACGAGATCATGAACGTGGACGGTGATTTCAGGTTTGCATCTCCTGAGGGGCTCAAGGAGTTCGAGAATTGGGCCATCTGGCAGCGTGTGGGGACTGAGATGAAGAGAATGTGTGTAGGCATTGATGGAAAATTGATTGTCAACAATGTGTTTGATGGTGTGCCAGACGAAATCCCAGGGTTTGTTCGTAAGCTAGAATACGTAAATGGAGCTAGGGCGCGTTTCGCTGCCTTGAGGCCGAACGGCTTGATCTCGACGAGATTCCTGTCAAGAAACCAAACGGTAGTTGTGGTAGGGGACTCGGTTTTCGCACATGGTGGGTTGCTACAGAAACATGTGAATTATGGGTTTGATCGTGTTAATGAGGAGGTTAGGGAGTGGATTCTTGGTTTGAGGGACAGGGTGGGGAATCAGTTGGTGAGGGGGAGAAATTCCATAGTTTGGTTGAGGAGTTTTTCCAATGAGCTGGCAAAGGACTGCGATTGTTCGTTGCTCGAACACGTGCTAGAGACAATTCCTGGAGTGAAGAGGTTGATTATGGGGCACACGATTCAAAGAGATGGCATTAATGCGATTTGTGGTAACCGAGCTGTGAGGATTGATGTGGGGATGTCTAAGGGGTGTGGGGATAGGTTTCCCGAGGTCTTGGAAATTAACGAGAGTTCGGAGCTTAGGGTTTTGACCTCTAATCCTTTGTATTCAAAACGATATGGGGATTATTTGCGTGAGGATAAGAAAGACGGGCTTGGTGTGTTGATCCCTGAGGAGAGGTCGAAGCAGATTGAGGTGAATGCTTGAGTTTGAAATAGCTTTTTATTTTTTCTCAAGTTATTTCAAAGATTGTATCTTGTGTCGAATTATGGAGGATGATGGTGTAGGTCCAGTCCTAGGAGCTTAAAAATGTGAATTGGGGTAGACATTTATGGTCCTATGGATGCTGTAGTGTTCTGGCTCAAGCATGGCAGGATTTTTTTTTTTTTTTTTTTTTTTTTTTTTTTTTTTTTCTGAAAGTATTATTGGAGTAGAGCTGGAAACTGAATCTTATTGCCAAGTAGAATATCACATAGATAAGTATTGTTGCAAAATCTGTATCGGGGTACATTTTAGTTATCAGCGATATATATTTTGATTTAACATCGCTCGATTGACAAATTCTGTTTTCATAATTATGTATTTATAGCTGTAGCTTATGTTCATTCACTTTGTTTTTGTTTCTGTTATTTGTGTGCGCGTGTAAAACTTGTTTGTGTGCCACATAATTTTATGTGCATTTTCCTTCAAATTGTTTGTTGATAACATTTTGGTGGCACCATACTCGAGATTTTATTTGATGCTCTTCATGGCTATCCATATTAAGCTGCTGGCTGATTGTTCTTACAAATGGTGAAAACATGTTCTTTTACCACATAGTTCCCTCAGATAAGCAAAAGATCATAGATGTGTATCATACTTTATGTTCAAGATTTCAAGTTGAGGTGTACTACTACTATGAATGTTGATGCAAAATGTTATATGATTCCTCCAGTTACATTGCTTTTCGGTTGGAACGAACAAATGTTGATGTGTATCATTATTGTCTTTTTTTTTTTTTTTTT